TGTAGGGGTGGAGTGTGTGGTCAGATGGCTCAAGGTGGCTGTTCTCTTGCCCTCTGTACATGCCCTGCGTGACCAGTCCCTGCTGCGCCTACACCCTGCTCACCTGGACGTGCTCGCCCCCTGCCCCCGCCAGTGATTGTTCTAAGCCTTAGGCCAGAATGGCTCCACCTGCTAGTTTATTAAAGGGAAACATCTGCCCTCCTGTTGGTCATTAACCTGAGGGGCTGCAAGGGATGGGTCTCAGCTGCTAGTTTCCCTGGTAACTGATGAGCCACCCTGACGTCAATTCCCCCTATAAATGGTAGCCTCCTCCCCTGTGTAGCAAAGACTGCTTACCATGTCCTGCTCGCCGTCTGCCATGCACAGTGAGGGTGTCGCTCCAGGACTTTGCTTCAGATGTGTAAGATCCCCATCTATTAAACCATTGATGTCTCTGTCGCTGTTTCTGGGTTCTCTCTTTGGACTCAAAGCTGGGCAACTACAAGGCTTGCATGCCTGTGGGGTCTTCTCAGGGGAATGTCTACATTGACCCCAGGGTTCATCAGATTAGAACCCCAAGCAGCTTACTCCCTAGGACAGGGGTAGCAAACTTCAGGCCATGGGGACAAATCCAGGCTACTGCCTCCATTTATTAAAATGTTATTGGAACACAGTCATACCCACTGGTTTGTGTATTGTCTGTGGCTGCTTTTGAGCCATAGTGGCAGAGTTGAATATTGACAGAAACGATATGGCTTGTATTTACAGAAAGATATGGCTCTTTACAGAAAGGTTTTCCCTAGGAGATCCTTGAACTAACCTGGTCTGCCAGGGGTCAAGGTGGACTTATGTCCCCTGTCATCCATACAAAAAGAATCTTGTGGTATTTTTGGAAGAAATACTTTAAAATATTCAGGTTTTAGGGGGTCTTTGAAAGCAGTTTGATAACATAGCTGTTACTTTCCTGCATAGTTGTCTAATAACAGGATGTAACCCAGTGATTCTTGCACTTTTGCAAGCATCAGAATCAGCTGGAGGGCTTGTTTAACACATATTGGGAGTAGGGCTCAGCAATTGATTCTGATTCAGTAAGGGGCCAGGAGCTTGCGTTTATAACAAACTCCCAGATAATGGTAGTGCTACCAGTTCCAGATCACACTTGCAAAAGCAGTTTAGAAGCTTTGGGGAACAGAAAGGCCTTCCCTCACAACTTTGTAAAGCTCCATAATCTTAAAAGTGAAATTTAGCTCATAGCCTTTCCCCTCAAACCCTGGAATGTCCTTGGACAGCAGATAGGGGACGGGGAATAAAAACAAATTTCTTTCTTTCTTTATTTTTATTTTTTTGCGGTACGCGGGCCTCTCACTGTTGTGGCCTCTCCCGTTGCGGAGCACAGGCTCTGGACGCGCAGGCTCAGCGGCCATGGCTCACGGGCCTAGCTGCTCCGCGGCATGTGGGATCTTCCCGGACCGGGGCATGAACCCGTGTCCCCTGCATCGGCAGGCGGACTCTCAACCACTGCGCCACCAGGGAAGCCCCTAAAAACAAATTCAAATGGCAAGGATTCCGGCAAAATGAGGGAGGCCTTGAGAGAAGACCTGTAGGAAATTATCCAGTGTTTGGTCAGGAGTGAACCTTGACCTAGGGACAGGTGTACTGGTGTTGGTGGATTTATTTGCTGTCAGACTAGTGAGCTGGGGACAGAGACTTTCTTGGCAACTGAGTCATCTGATTTGTTTAAAAATTTGCCTTGCGAACAAAACCTGAGTGCTAAAGAGGGTACATGATCTGGCTCTGCTATGGAAACCTGCCTATTTAGGGAGCTGGGCCAGCCAGTCCCTCGGCTCAGATTCTCCCTAGGAGTTAACTCACCTGTTTCTGATCCCTCCTCTGGTTCCAGATTCCCGGAGGGAGATCCTTCCCCAAAGCTGGCTCTGCCAGCTGGAGGCGGTAGCCAGGGCAGTCCTTGAACACAGCTGGTGTGAATGAATGATACTTCTCAGAACAAAAGGTGGTTAGGACTTTCACTGAGTATCTTTTGATCTTGGAGCAAACTTTCCAGCCTCTGTGGTGTATCTTGCTATCCCATTGTTCATCTGATTTCCTAAAACTCTCCACCTTCTTCCAAATGTTATGGCTGAAATTGATTTTTTCCATGAATTGTTTTCAATAAAATGAATGAAATTTAAAGCATTCGCAGTTTTACTTGAGAACTGGTGGAGTTTTCATGATGCTTCTTGAAGTAGACTCTAGAATACTAGGGTCAAGGCTACGGATTACTAGACATTTTGGGAGAAATCGGAACAGTGAAGGACTATAATTAAACATACTTAATTGCTTCCACTACCAAATACAATTTTTTTTTAAACCACTGAGGTAAGAATAACATACAAAAGCTACCTATTTAGTGTATATAACTTGATGAGTTGGAGATAAGCATACACCCATGAAACCATTCCCACAATCTATGCCCTAAACATATCCATTACCTCCAACAGCTTTTCCTGCCTTTATTATTATACAACTGGTTTTGATTTTTCAGACATTAAAGGATTTCTATTGAAAAAATTATACCATTACCCAAACATGCTTTTTACTTTTGCGTGTTACTGTAGAATCCTTTAAAAGTCTACATAACTGTAATCAATGTATACAGTTTAGTTTTCTGTTTCTGTAGTTTTCATAATTTTAATATTTAAGACAATATTGTGTTGATGGACTACAACTTACTAAAACATTTCCTTAAATTTTTGACATTTGTTCTTTTTAAAAAAAAAAATTGGTTGTACCAAGTCTTAGTTGCGGCAGGCAGGCTCCTTAGTTGTGGCATGCAAACTCTTAGTTGCAGCATGCATGTGGGATCTAGTTCCCTGACCAGGGATTGAACCTGGGCTCCCTGTATTGGGAGCACGGAGTTTTAACCACTGTGCCACCAGGGATGTCCCAACATTTGTTCATTTTGCTATCATAGATTATGGTGCTAAAGAATATCTTCATGAATATGTCTTTATTGCTATTATCGAAAGCTAGTGCTTAGAAATGAAAGTACTGTGTGAAAGAGTATGAACACACGTAGGTTTTCTTTAAATATTTTGTGCTGCTTTACATCAACAAGAGCAATAATGTGTATACAAATTTCATTACACCCTTAGAGTATTAATATTTTGTTTAATTTTTACAACTGAACATGGTGTTTTAAAGTTGCTTTAATTTGTATTTATTAGCATTTTTCCATGTGTTTCCAGTATGGGAAC